CGGACGCCCAGCGCCTAGGTGGATTTTTCGAACACAATTGTTTCACTACATATAACGTAGCCTGTCATTAGACCTGATAAGAGCACACATACATGAAAAGTTAAGTCATGTAAATATGTACAACTTCTGGAGGGATCGCATAAGACACGAAGACATCAGAGATTCAAAATAGAACTAAGAAAGAAAAGAATTTTACCAGGATTTATGAATGACAATAAACTTGTCTGAGTTGGTCGTGAATCAGCTTTAACAACTGTTAGTGTTTAATAAGCTTTTGATAAAAATGGAGGAATGAGTATATTGAAGAAGAGAGTGAAGGAAATAAAATGCTCTATAAAGCCTTTTGTATTTCGTTGGGTATATCAGGAGCTGTTTCACTCACAGCTCATATTACTGTTAGAAGAGAGAGAGAGAGCTAGACAAATCCTAGCTTCAATCTCAACCATCCAACTACACTATTAGTAAGATTATGACACCTGTCCAGTCAAGTCCTATGAGACTTAACAAACCGTTTGACTATTATAGACAGCTTAGCCTATGAGCTAAGTATAACACTAAACCAGCAATTACATACTAAATCAGTTTACCATTTTGCACATTAACAACAACTGGTATCATTTTTCAACAGAGGACAAAAAAGGGGGGAAACTGGTAAGGTATTATTTTAAGAAGAAAATCATGGTTATATTAGTTCTTCGTCAACCGTCAACCGTCAACCGTCAACCGTCAACGACCTACTTCTTTACCTCTGTCTCCTCCGCTTTCCAAGAGCTAGGTCTCTCCTTCTTGCTCCCTCGTTGATTTGTAAATTTCATCATCATCATAGTATCAGCAGAGGGTGAGATCTTGCAGTCCTCCAATTTGAAGTGCTTCGGCTTCAATGAACTCAAAACAGCCACACCAGGAACTTCCGTCCTGATAATATGGTTGGTGAAGGTGGTTTTGGTTTAGTCTTCAAGGGGTGGATTGATGAGAATTCATTAACAGCTGCCAAGATTGATGAAAATTGTATGTTGTAATGAGCATGTACTGCTACAGTTGGTTATATTGTATAGTTTTTTTGTTTAGTGAATGTCTTCATGGTTATTTTCCTCTGAAGCATATTTTCTTTATGTGCCTGAAATTTGAGGAAAATGAGGTTTCTTAGCACTTTGTAACATATCCTGCTGCAGAACAAGAGTCTTCCAGTACAGAATTGTTCGATGTTCGAAAAATCGCTAGGCGGTAGGCGGGCAGCTTCTAGAGGGTAACCGGGGCCTAGACCTTTTTTTTTAAATTATTTATTATTTTTAATAAATTATTTAAATTTATAATTATTTTGTATTTTAAATTATAAATTATTACCAAAAATCATGCAACATAAAAGGATAAAACCTAGGTTTTCTTTAAAGTCTGGAAAAAAAATTATAAAAAAAAGAAAAGAAAAAAAAAAACCGCCTAGCGGCTAGGCGGCCGATTTTGTCGAACACTAACTTGTATAATGTTTATTTTGCATATAGCTCTAGCGTTGTAGCATTTCTGCACTGGGTTATAGAATTCCATGTTGCCGGTAGTAAATTGTAAGTGCCCTTTTCATTTTGGCTCCAGAGTGAGTTCATTGGTGAATGTTATATGAGGAGGTCGCAGGTAGCGGGTCGTGGCCTGGTGGTGGTCGTCGTGGGTGGAGGCCTGGTGGTGGTGGTCTGTCGTGAGAGATAGAGAGGGGGGGAGGGAGAGAGAGAGAGAAGGAGGTGACGGCTCAGAGGAGAGAGAGGCAGCGTGAGGTATGTTACCCGACCAGACCTGCCTAGGCGGGCGCCTAGGCAGATTTTACGAAGACAATTGTTTCACTACATATAACGTAGCCAGTCATTAGACTAGGCGGGCGCCCAGCGTCTGATACTGCTAGTAAGTATCAGCAGAGGGTGAGATCTTGCAGTCCTCCAATTTGAAGTGCTTCGGCTTCAATGAACTCCAAACAGCCACCAGGAACTTCCGTCCTGATAATATGGTTGGTGAAGGTGGTTTTGGTTTAGTCTTCAAGGGGTGGATTGATGAGAATTCATTAACAGCTGCCAAGCCTGGTACTGGCATGGCTATTGCTGTGAAAAGGCTTAACCAAGAAGGTCTCCATGGTCAGAAGGAATGGCTGGTGAGTTTCACTTCTATATGCAGAGTCTATGTTTCATGCTCAAATACACTTTATCTCTTTTTTATCAGCTTTTTGTATTGAACCTAGCATTTTTTCATCTTAGTTGACTATGGAACAATTTCAAGCAGTTGGGAAGCTAAAATAAAGTTACTGATGTTCAATTGCTCAAAGTGCACCTGAAGCAAAGAAGGCCAAAATATTGATATCAAAACAATCTTGTTGGATCTTGCAATGTTGTGTGTGCAGTATTTTCAGAAAAATATTTAATTGATTGACTTTGTGGAGCTTCTCTTGATCTGTAGGCAGAGGTTAACTCCATTGGAAAGCTGCATCACCCAAATCTTGTGAGGTTGATAGGTTACTGCTTACAGGATAGCTGCCGGTTTCTGGTGTATGAATTTATGCCTCGTGGCAGCTTGGATAATCATCTATTTAGAAGTGAGTTATAAACTTCCTTAGCTCTGTAGCCATATGAACTTTTAAATGAAGCAATACAATGAATCTGGAGCTCAAGTACTTCGATATGAAATATATTTTAGGGACTTCAGTTTTTATGCGAAGGCTCCATGGGAGCGGTTGAGTTGCCCTGGGTGCAGCTAAGGGTCTAGCATCTCTTCATGGTGATGAAGCAAAAGTGATATATGGGAACTTCAAAACTTCTAAGATCCTTCTTGATTCAGTATGTGAAATCTTTAGCTGTTGAACTTTTATGGCTTTTAGAAGAGATCTGTTAGACTTGCTCACCTATCATTTTTTTCATTGTTAAATAACAGAACTACAATGCCAAACTCTCTGGTTATGGTTTGGCCAAGGAAGGGCTTCAGGGTTATAGATGCTTCAGTTATCCGATTGTTCGTGTTCAAATAGCAATAAATTCTACCATGAAGAAGGTATTTTTTATTTATCACCACCCTACAATTGCATAGAAACATGCAATCTTATGACATGTAAAATCTCTGTAGCAACAATTTTTTCCTTGGATTATATCTCAGTGCCATTTCTATTAGCCATCAATTTCCATGCACTTTTAATTAAAGCCCCCTCTCATCTCTGCCTCTATATCATCTTCATCAGTTCTGCAGTATCCATCGTATGATCAAGCATATATTTATCCCTGCGCTCCCATCTGATCTTTTGTTCAATTTTTTGTCTTCTGAAGAAGACTTGACACCCGAAGGTGATGTATACAGTTTTGGGGTTGTTCTGCTTGAAATCTTATCAGGCAGACGAGCTTTGGATGCTAACAGGCCATCAGGAGAGCAAGATTTAGTTCAACATGCCCGATCTACCAAAAAATGCAAACTTCACCAACTTTTTGATGAAGCTCGCAAAACACTTAACCTTGCAATGAAATGCCTATCAACAGACTCTAAGTTTAGGCCTGATTTGAATGAGGTGGTAAAATTATTGGAGCAGCTTCAGTCTTCTAGTGAGATGGAGGACTTGGCTGCTAGGGCATCTCTCAAATCTGACCTTGCCAAATTTTTTATGCCAATTCAGGCAATGTATGGTCCCAATCGTCGCCAGAAAAATGTCAATCGGATCAGCTGTGCAACACCTACTTAGGCCATCCGTTTGCCGCAGTATTTGACAGGTTTCATAGATACATATTCTGCTGCAGAACACAGAATTTCATTATTTGACTTTTGTAATTAATACATTTTCAATCATTACTTGAGAGTGAAGGGATCCCTGCAAGAGTATTATTTTGTCTCCAAATTTGTTTATCAAATGATGCAACCACAGTCTACATGCACAGTCTCTAAATACGGAGGCTCCTAGTAAAAATATTTACCTACTAAATTCGAAAGTATCAATTTTTTTTAAATAATACCGGGTATAGCCGCTCGGCTATACAATCTGTAAAAAACATTAATCAAACGGCGAATAGCCGCCCGGCTATACTATTTTTAAAAACCCAAAAAACCCGAGTATAGCCAATCGGCTGTACTATTTTTTTTATAAAAAAGAGGACCTCCTAGCGATTAGGAGCCACGTGTCAAAATAAGTACAACCGCTCGGCTAAACTATTTTTGGGTAAAAATTGAAGTATAGCCTTTATAAAAATAAAAAATAAAAACACCGGGTATCGCCCGGCAGTACTATTTTTATTTTTATTTTTTATGAATCGATTTTTTTTAATGTTTATATTTTTTTCCCCGAAATACTTACAAAATGTGCATGGACTATTACGGGCTTGAGCTAACTTGGGCCCGAAGCCCATTACAACCCAATATCAAATAAACCACAAAGCTGAGGTTTTAGCCACTATCTCGCTCTCTTCCTCTGCTTCATCTTCTTCATCTTCGCGAAGCCAAAACCCAGCAGCAGAATGATGACAGCCACATCAACGTCGCTAATTCAGCGCGTATGCTCTGTGCCTCTGGCACGTGCGGTCCGTACTCGCGCCATGGCAGTGGTGAGCCTGAACCTGTCCACCACTCCAGCTCCTTCTCAAGCCTTGCGCGCCGACTCGCGCGTGCTCCTTGGCCTGTCCGAACCAGAGCTCCAGCAGCTCGCACTGGACTTAAAGCAGGTAAATAAGCATAAAAATCTCTCTGTTTGTTTGCTTAAAATTGAAAGATGTTGAATTTATGTGCTGATTTCCATTTTTGAAAATGTATGTGTAGCAAAGCTACAGAGGGAAGCAGCTTCATCATCTTATTTATAAAAGAAAGATTAAAGATATTCAGGATTTCAGCCAAGGTAACTCTCTCTCTCTCTCTCTCTTAATAAAGATTGGGTTTTTTGTGGGACCATGCTTATTGGTTTTTACTGTGGTTTATGTTGCAGTGCCTCTGGCATTCAGGAATGAGCTTGAGGAAGCTGGATGGAAAGTTGGGAGGTCACCCATTTATCAGAGTGTCACTGCTGCTGATGGCACTGTTAAGGTAATTTCTTTTCTTGAAGATGGTTACTGGGCAGTTCTGTGACTCCTTGATGGAATATTTTGTTATAAATTCATGTGAAGTTTATTTATCTCTACTGAATATTTTGTTTATAAAAGGGGCAATTTAGGTGCCTACTAAAAAAGTATTAAGAATATTGCACTTTTTTCATAAAATTTTGTGGCTTGGAATTCATAATAGTGATGGTAATTTGAGATTAGCATAATGGTGGCTTAAGTTGTGCCATTAATTTTTGCAGTTATTGATAAAGTTGGAGGATAACAGATTGATTGAAACTGTTGGCATACCAGTTAAAGATGAGAAAGGTGTGATGCGCCTTACAGCATGTGTCTCCTCACAGGTGATTTTTGGAGATGAGTGACAAAATTTTCCCCTGCAGTTATACCCTAATGTTAGCCTTTGTGTGTGCTTAATGCTATTCTCTCATAGAATTTTTATTGGTTGGTTGAAACAGGTGGGATGCCCACTTCGTTGCTCTTTTTGTGCCACAGGAAAGGGAGGGTTTTCAAGGAACCTTAAGATGCATGAAATCGTTGAGCAGGTATCGGCTGTCTTGTCCATGCTCTATTATGAGTAGGGTTTGTGTGTCCCCTTGTTTACCCAATTTGTGAACAGGCATGATTGAAATTTACTTAAAAGATACTTTCTTAAAATTATAGTTTATACCGTTGTTGTGTGCTAATACATAAACAAACGTGAGTTTTCAGCATTTACATTGTGATTGTATATACCTTTGTGTTGACAGGTTTTGGCTATTGAGGAAATCTTCAACCATAGGGTGACCAATGTAGTGTTCATGGGAATGGGTGAACCAATGATGAACCTGAAGTCAGTACTTGCAGCACACCAGTGTTTAAATAAGGTTCATTTGCAGCTATATCTTGAGCATTTTAATAGCAACTTCGATTCCATGTGTTTTATATGTGTGAAAAATTTAAGCACTTGCCTTTGTTACATTAAACTCCTATTAATCCCCATAGGCTAACTAACAATTTTCACTTTATGCTGTATCTGATTGCAAACCCTAAGCCATATAAAACTAGTTTTAAGGTGGAATGCTATCTCTAATGTTTATGAAGTTGCAAAAAATGTTACATGACGATCTAAGTGAAAGCTTATTTATGTTGGACTTTGTTTTGTTAAGGATGTGCAAATTGGGCAAAGAATGATTACAATATCTACTGTGGGGGTTCCAAATACAATAAAAAAGCTGGCATCTCACAAGCTTCAGTCAACATTGGCTGTCAGGTAATAATTTTCCATGGGATTTACTTTTTGGTATATCATCTAGTTTTCATCGACTATGAAGTAGAGAATGATTTTCATTGATGTCTATAGTTTTCACTTTAGTTCATGCTGCAAACATAAGCTATGGTTTTGGAAGTAGGAAGAGCTTCCAAGTTATATTTTTCCCTGCTAAACTTTTCTCACTTCCTTGCTCATCAGTCTGCATGCTCCTAACCAGAAGCTCAGGGAAACAATTGTGCCAAGTGCAAAAGCATACCCTCTGAGTGCACTTATGAAGGATTGCAGGGACTATTTCATTGAAACCAGTAGACGGGTTTCCTTTGAGTATGCACTTTTAGGTACTGAAATTAAATTTATAAATTTTTTCTTGTCTCTTGTCATCCATGTGTGCTTACTTTAACGATGTTGATGTCATTCTTCATATCTTTTTGACCAGCTGGAGTCAATGATGCAGTAGAGCATGCAGTTGAACTTGCAGAGCTACTCCATGAGTGGGGGCGAGGCTATCATGTGAACTTGATACCTTTTAACCCAATAGAAGGCTCTGAGTATCGGCGTCCATCCAAGAAAGCTGTATGGAATTAGTTGATTTGTCTTCCCTTCTGTTTTTACACATAAATACATATTTACTTGATCTAATTTTTGCGTATATATTTATTTATTTCTTGGTTTGTTCACCTTCTTTTTCTGTGTTTTCTGCCAAAAATTTCATTTGGCAGGTACATGCATTTGCAGCTGCTCTGGAGTCCAATAGAGTAACTGTTAGCACACGTCAAACAAGGGGCTTGGATGCAGATGCAGCTTGTGGTCAGCTAAGAAACAAGTTCCAGAAGAGTCCCTTGCCCACTGACTCCGACAACTTACAACCTGAAGAAGATGTTGCAGTTGCATGTTGATTGATGTCATAATCTTTCTGGGTGTGCTCCTCGGCGGAGTGTTCTGTACACCACACATTTCTGTGTTCCCGTCCCTTCATCTGTAAGAAGCTTAATGAAAGTGGTGTACAAAGTTGGAGCTGGTCTTCATCATCTACTTTTACTAGTGGTGGATCGGTGTATAGTGCTGCTGTGTTGGCTGTAGAAACCAAGTTTCTTCCTGCACATGATACTAAGGTTTTGTGGAGAACTGTTGCGCTTCCCCGATATCACAGCGATGCTGATTGTCAATGGCTCACAGAGGCACAAGAAAATAGCACTTCTCCTCATCGGCTTACGAGAAAGAAAGATAGAAAAAGGGTCTTTATGCAATAGTGGATAGTTAGGCTACCTTCTGTGTATGGCATTTTATTACAGTCATAGTCCATAGACTTGTAGGCGGAGATGGCTCTCACGACAGGCAACAGACTATGAATTTCCAGTTGCTTCAACTGGCATAGCTTTTATTTGTTGAATGAACTCTTACTAAAGTCTACATTAATCAACATATGCTCTGCTCCGACCAAAATTTGTTACTCAAAATCTAAAATCGAAGCTCTAAAATCTAAAATAGAAATCCTATGTTTTTTTCTTCCTCTTTTTATAATTTTAAGGATAACAGAAAACCATTTATTTAAGAAAAAGAAAAAAAGAAAAAGACAGGTCGGCCGATTAGTGTGTAACCAATTTTGTTGGTGTTAAAGCCCAGAAAGAACCAGTTAGAGAAACCCGGCCCAACCAAAATACGTGTGATGGGGTTTTGAACTAAAAGACTCGAAGAAGCTTTTAAAAATCAGGGTTCGATAATTTGTCCGATTATAAGTTTTTCAGAATTTCAGATCCAAAGGAAAAATCCTAGAAGCTCTCGTCGTACGTTTCAGTGTCTTCATCAGAGTTACAGGTAATTATTTATGCCCTATCTTTGCTTCGCTTGACTCTTCGAAGTCTTCATCTGATCAGCAAAATCGTCAAAGAAAAAAAAAAAGAAACCCTAAAGCTAAAGGTTATTTTGTTGCTGATAATCACAGCAAAGCAAAAAACTTTGTTTCTTAATTTTTTTTGTTGCATCTTCTTCTTGCGATGAGATCCCTAAACTTGAAACCAATTTGTGTCGTGATGGAATAGGCACTAGTATCACATATGAGGAGGTACAGCCCACAGTACTATAGTCCTCCAAGGAGGAGCTATGGCGGAGGCGGCGGCGGAGGAGGACGAGGAAGAAGCCCCCCAAGGAGGCGCAAGGAGCAGAATAGTGGAAGTCTTTTGGTCCGGAACATTCCTCTTGATTGCAGGTCCTCTTTCATGTGAAAGAAAAGTTTCGATTTTAGTTTGTTTGGTTTGGTTTTGTTCACTGTTTCAGTTTTCTAAACTGGAGTTTTGTCTAATTTTGCAGACCTGAAGAGCTACGAGTTCCCTTTGAAAGATATGGGCTTGTTCGGGATGTCTACATTCCCAAGGACTACTACACTGGGTGAGCTTTATGTCAATACGTGTCGATGTCAATCATGGTTTTTATAAAATCTTCAAACGTGGTTCATGCAACGGAAACTCGATTGATAAGAATACTATATGAAATTTTCGTTGTTTCAGATTCGATACTTCCTACTTTGTCTGAAATGGCTTCCTTGGTTAGAATTTGTTTGTAGGGGGATAAGATACATGTGTGTGGAGTTTGCTAAACTATTTTCTAAAGTACTTATTTACCTTTTTCATAGTGAATTTTTGAACTGGTTTGTCAGGGGGTGTGTTGGTTTGAACTTTGAAGTTAAAACAAGCCCAAGCCTCACATTTGATGAAGGCCTACTGTTTATCATTGCGTAACATAGTGGTATTCCAAGCGTGTTAGGAGTAATGTTCAAATGAAGAATGTTCTTTTTATGAAGAGAAATTATATAATTACAACAATCAATAGAAGTTTGGTGAGGACATCGTTGATTTCAAGTGCTTCTTATAATCACAAGAATGTCAAGAATTTGGGGCAACGTTGATTTCAAGTGCTTCTTAAAGAATGAGAAGAATTTCCAAGTTACTTGCATATTTTGAAGTTGCCTTTCATACTTGACTATAAAGAAAAGGTCAGCCACTAAGCTTCGATTTTACCTGCTTTACGTAAATTCAGCATCCACTTAAGTGGAACTGCTCCAAAGCTGATGTTAGATGTGAAGTAATGACATTGTGGTGGTAACTTACTATACTAATTTTGACAAGCCACTGTACTCATACAATCAGTCTTCGCTTACTCTTAGTCATTCCTACTTTGTATTGAGCTTTCCTGAACTACTATGTAGGGAACCTCGGGGATTTGCATTTGTGCAATTTGTGGATTCTTATGAGGCTGCAGAGGCTCAGTATCATATGAACGGGAAAATTTTTGCTGGGAGGGAGATATCTGTGGTTGTTGCTGCAGAGACAAGGAAAAGGCCAGAGGAGATGCGTCAAAGGACTAGGGTTAGGTAATGTCTTCTATGATCTTTGCTTCTGTCTGTCTGACTCTGTCTCTGTCTCTGTCTCTCTGTCTCTGTCTCTCTCTCTCTCCTAACTTGATTTTATATGTTTGAAATGCCAATTGCCTGTTTCTTTATGCAGAGGGCCATCAGAGCATGGAGGAAGACGATCGTCTTATTATGGTACTGTTTCTGACAAAAGTTTTACTTATTATCGTATGATGTTTCTGACAACAATGAGTGATGCCCTTAATGTTGTTGATCATGTTTGAATTCACTGTGGTCAACAGAATCAACGTCTGCGGACATGTCATTACATTTCCATTTATTTCTTAAATGAATAATCTAATTAAGAAATATTTTGTGATATCATTGTATCAGTGAAGTGATTCCTGTTAAACACTAATCTGTATTCTGTATCTGATGTGCCACAGGACGTTCTCGTTCTCGTTCACGTTCGCCACATTATCCATCAAGCTCTAGAAGCCGATACCGCTCAAGGTAAGCTTTGAAGGTGACAGATTGCTGTATTTTTTTTTCTCTCGATGCTTACTAACACATGCATACATTGGTAAATAATTTTTTCAGGTCCTATTCACCTGCTCCAAGACGCCGTGGTGACTCTGTTTCCCCAAGTAGAAGGCGCAGAGACCACCCAAGATCACCACGTGATCTTCCACTAGAGCGAGATGCTGATCATGATCGCAGGCCATATTCTCCAGGTTATGACAATGGTGCTGGGCCAAATGAAAATGACGGATATGAAAAGTGAGTCCGTCCAAATTGTTTCTGTTTTCTAGCTCCGCTGCAGGTTTCTCTGTATACATTGTTTTTCAAACTGTGTTAATGAGAATTTGCAGGATGAATGGTGGAAGTAGTGTATTGTGGCAAATTGAGGATACGGATTTCATTTTGTAATGTTTAATGTATCAGTTTGTCATGCCGATCTTTTAAATTGACTGTGTACTCGTTTCAAATACGTAGGAAACCTATGCACGAGGATAAGGATGGAAGAGGTCATTGGAGGTCTCCTAGTCCTGGTAGAGCATCCAGATCACCATCTGGATCTAGGTCCAGATCTGCCGAGTTATCACCTAGGCGCAGCAGATAAGGATAAGAGCAATGTGAATGCATAAGCATGCATTTAATCATGTCTGGCAGATTTTGAATTTTTCGGGTTGTAACATTAGTATGTGAGCCTGAGTTCCAGGCTTGTGTGTGCAAACATTTGGAAGTTTGTAACAATTAAAACCTTGTTTTTGCGTTTCTTTGGATCATGAAAGTTGTGTATGGTTTCATTTGAGACGTCCTAAATTGAGCACGCCCCTCAATTAGTGTAAGCATATACGTCTCTCCTACCATGTAAAACTGAGCTGATTATGGTTTTTCAATGATGGAAAATGAAAATGGCAATGTGGGTTTTCCCAAGAATGCTGAAAAAAGTTTGTGAGCTTGAGATAACCGTATTTCGGTACATTGATTCAAGGGTTTTTGAAGTTGGTCTTCATCTTCATGAAATGCAGGCAGCAGGCCATAAGCAGCACTTATTTAATTGAAATCTCAAGTCAAACAGTGCACCCCGTCACCCACCATGTTGCTATTTTTGCATTTTTTTATATATTTTGTTTTCTCCCCTCATAACGTGTGCCCACTTGACAATTGCTAACTTGGGATGACTTTGCCATGAGAGGAGAGCCTGGCTTGCCCGTTTGCTGTTCATTTGTGAATTTGACCGCCCGTCATGGAATCTTCTCCCCTTTGCAGTATTGTACATAAATTATAATCCTTCGTTACAACCCATGTCAAGTTCATAAAGCGAAAACCTTTAAAAGAATCGTATTGAAATTGAATTTCTCAGAGAGAGGGAGAGAGCAAGATAACAGAGAGAGATGGCAGTTGGGATATTGGAGGTGATGCTTGTGAGTGCAAAGGGGCTTGGAGACACCGATTTATTCAGTATACTTTCTCTTCCTTTCTTTCTTTCCTTATGTCTATGCTGTTCTATAGTTCAATATAGTGTAGTTTGAGCTTGAAAATAGTTGAAGACATTCATAAACCTTGATGGGTTTCTGCGAAGTTTTGATTTTTGTGTTCCGTTCTTAAATTTAATCAACTAATTTCCTTTCCACCATTTATTAGACTTTCAAACAAATAGATCCAGTAAAGTTGGTGAACTTCATTAATGCTGCACTTGTATTTTCTCTGCTTTTGTTTTGAATGTATACTTGTTCTCTTACTCATTTTTATCCCATTTTATACAAGAATTTTTGAAGCAATCCACCATTTCTATAAGGTTTGTTCGATTGCTTCAAAAAAAAAAATTCAAGGAAAATATTCATCAACTATTAAAAAGGTGATTTTGTTGCTCTCCCATGGAGATTTTACATCAATTGCTGCATGATATATTGCTTCTTATTTTTATTTATTTAAAGTCTGGCATTTTAGCACAGAGTTTGATTTAGCAGGTCGTATGGATCCTTATGTTCTGATTCAATACAAAGGCCAAGAGCGCAAGAGCAGCGTGGCCAGAGGTAAAGTTCCAACATCCACTTGACTTGCACCTAATACTTAAATTTAAAATAATGGTTTACACAAATCTGTTTTTCAGTTTTGATGTCAAAGCTCGCAAGTCAATTAAATAAGAAGAATTGATTGGCATGTTCATGTTGTAAGAAATATATTTTATTCAAATGTCCAATGGTTCCTTGAGTTGCGTTATGTATGGAACTATAGTAGACTTTGAGAATTAAATTTTAATTAGATTGAGGTTTACCTATACTCTAGACTTTTTTCTATCAAGTACTTAGTTAATACGATGCTCAAAGCTTTCTCCTTCCTTTAAACTTGTAATAAAAATGGTGTGGCCAAGTTGCCTTCTAGAAGCTGAACTACTTAATAAACTCATGACCAAGTAAACCCTTTTATATAAATAGACGCATCAGTAGTTATATAAAAAACAGACGCATTGTGATTTTTCATTATTCTGGCAAATTTTGTGTAGTGTTGTTGCGTTTCAAAGACTACTACATGTTCTAATTCTGAAATGGTAATGCAGAGCAAGGCAGCAGTCCGGTGTGGAACGAGAGATTTACATTCAGGGCAGAGTATCCAGGGTCAGGGGAGCAGTACAAGGTCACCCTCAAAATCATGGATAAAGACACCTTCACTGCTGATGACTTTATAGGAGAAGCAACGTACGTAATAATATTCATATATAATATTCTTTATACTCAATAGTTGTTGCCCATGAGATTTGAACTCAAAACATTCTCCTATGTTCTACTTAATTAGTCACGACTGATATATGGTAGATCAAATTACCCTTAATCTGCAGGATATATGTTAAGGATTTATTGGCACTGGGTGTGGAGAATGGAACTGCTCAACTACATCCTCTTAAATATAGTGTTGTTCGTGCAGATCGTAGTTTTCGTGGGGAGATTCAAGTTGGTCTAACTTTCACTCCAAGGGTATTTTTTTTTGGCTCTCATTCTGCTTTAAAATATGAAACTGATCAGAAGCTTTTAGTTTATACAAATTTTTAATAATAAGCATTTCTTTTCTTCTTGGATTGATGTATGTGTGGTTATTTGTTGCATTTTATAGGCAGAACAGCAACATGAGGGACAAGAGTTTGGAGGATGGAAGCACAGTGATGCATATCCGTAGAGAGACAAATTCCACTGCTGCAGATGAGCTTGCAAAATACAAAGTAGTTAAAGCTCCTTGATCCTCCTTGTAATCTCTCCAGTACTTAATTTGTAGCTTTGAACTTTTGAAATTCAATGGCAAAGAAAGATAGAAAAGAAAAGAAAACGCAATTTAGTGATGAATTATGTAATCAGTGTTTCAGTTGGTAGATAAATGAAATAATGTTTGATATTGTTGTAAAATGATAAGGTGGAGCCCACATGTTGGAAGGAATCTTCATACACCTTCCTGGAGTCTTCTACCGAATTGTTAGGGCTGGAAACGGTTCGGGTTGGGCCGGTTTTGGGCCCAAACCGTTCACCGAACCGGGTCATGTCGGTAGGCCCAAATGACAAACCGTGGACTTGTTTTTTGGCCCATTTTCGACCTAATTCGAAACCCGAACTAAGCGGGCCGGGTTGGTTCGGTTCGGGTATCTACCGAGGCCCAACAAAAGCAAATAATGAAGGTTTTTTTTTAAAGTTTTCTAGGCCCATTTTGTTTTTTTGGTCAGATTTTCAGGCCAATTCAAATATGAGAGTTCCTGTATAGTTTTCCAGTTTATCCAACTTTGCATATCTAAAGTTTATCATCATTCAAATACTTAAAACTTAAGAAAACCACATCCACCACACATGTCCAAATACAGAAATGATTATTACAGACCATAACAAATTGTGAGAGTAATCTCAATCACAATCTGCATAAAGAAAATCCAAATAAATTTTCATTACATATACACATACAATTCCATGAGTTTCATATTCAAATCAAATTTGCACATCTGCACAAAGAAAAAAAAAACAGTTAGTAAATATATGAATTAATAACACAAAGAAAATACAAATTTTGATTAATGTAGAAAAAGAAAGAGAACCTTTTTCCATTTCTTCCAAAGCTTGGTAGAAATCTATCTCCTCCAATGCAGGTTCTTTGTAGTAGTTAAACTCTTCTGCTCTTAACCAATCACTACAACAAATCAATGCCTCCACGGTTTTTGGAGTTAACGAACTCCTAAAGGGATCTACAACTCTATTTCCCATGCTAAAAGAACATTCGGAAGCCACAGTTGATGCTTGGACATCAAATACATCTTTTGCAATATTAGAAAGTATTGGAAATTTTGTAGCATTCTCCTTCCACCAATCAAGCAATTTGAACTCATCATTTGTAAGATTCACGGGAGGTTCCAATATGTATTTATCAATCTCATTTCTTATCTCAACAACATCCTTATCTCTCCTTGACTTCAAGAACTTTTGTAATCTTGATGATTTACTAACATCATTGTTCACATGCAATGATCCTTCACTCTCCACATTACTATGAAATACTTGGGCAGCAGCTGGATTTTGCTTTCTATAATAATCATACAAATTGTGTAAAAGTGTCTTGATCTCCAATAACATGTCATTAACCCCATTTTCATCGGACACCAATTCACCCAAGGAAAATTCCACATATTCCATCTTGTATCGAGGATCTAGAATAACCGCCACAAAGAATAACTTGTTAATGTTATTAATATTTCCCCAATATTTATCAAACTTTCTCTTCATCATTGTTGCTATTTTGCACATAACAACATCATCAACATTCATCATTGTGTCTATCTCCTCCAAAATAGAACACATCTCATGGAGTGGGGCATTAGAAGACACTTGTTTTGAGGCACTAAATCTCAAAGTAGCATCATAAAACTTCTTCAAAAATTTGACAAATACCTTTATATTATCCCAATCCAATGAAGTTGGAGGCCCAACTCTTTTCTTCTTTTCCTTACCATGAGCTTCATACTCCTCAAAGTACCCCAAAAAGTTTGGGTCATCCTCCTCCATCCTCTCAAAACCTTTTTGGACCTTCAAAGCACTCTCCAACATCATGTAAGTTGAATTCCATCTTGTGCACACATCTAAAGGAACCATGGTTTTGGTATCAACTTTCTCCATCTCCAAACAAGCCCTAAACTTCTCTAACCTTTGAGATGACCCAATGTACTTAGCACAATTGCGAATACTCTCAATAGATTGATGAATTTCTTTCATTCCATCGGTTACAATCAAGTTTGTAATATGTGCACAACACCTCACATGCAACAAACTACCATCACCTATGAGTGAATTCCACTTTTCTAACCTCTTCTTCATGTAGCTAATACATCCATCATTGGAGGAAGCATTATCAACCGATATGGTGAAGACTTTGTCTATCCCCCATCCATTCAAACATGTCTCCATAAGCCTACCAATTGTATCCCCCTTATGATTAGGAATGACACAAAAATTAAGGATTCTCTTATGCAACACCCAATCATCATCAATAAAGTGGGCCGTGAGAACCATGTAATTGACATTTTGAATGGATGTCCAAGTGTCGGTGGTAAGAGACACTCTTTGTGCATTATGTGTTAGGACACTCTTGATTTTAGCTTTCTCCTCTTGATAGAGATCCCACACATCGCTAGCAATTGTTTTACGGCATGGCAAAACAAATCTAGGTTGTGCCTCCTTCATAAATTCACGAAAGCCAATACCCTCCACATGACTAAACGGAAGCTCATCCCGAATAATCATCTTGACACATGCAATTCTACATTTCTCTTTACTAAAGGCATGTGCTACTAAGTTACCCCCTTTTGCTTGGGCCTCAAATGAAAGGACTTTTTGTTTTTTCTCATGTCTCAAAGGAGAATTCTTACACTGACTTCTCAAATGGTGCCACAAAGTGGATGTGCCATTCCTTTTACCATCACATGCATAGTCCTTTTTACAGTACTTGCATATGCATCTAGGCTCACTAGTATCATTCTCACACTTTATCTTTGTAAAATGATCCCAAACCCCTGAAGCACTCTTACAAGGCTTTCTTTTTCCTAAAGTGGTAGGGGCTGATTGCAGAGGGGCTAGAGGGGCTGATTGTAGATGGGCTGATAGTGGTGGTGGGTTACTTGAAACAGGGGTTTCAGATTCTCCTTCCATTAAACTAATAATACCCTACGAAAATAAAAATATTTAATGCTTCAATAACCAAAAACAATAAGCCAAAATACAGCAGCAACCAAAAATAAATTATTTAAATTATTACTCAAATAAAACAACAACTGAAAACCACAAATAAATCATACAACAACAAAAAAACGCTTTTGTCCCAAAATCAATTCTATGATCCTAGCTATTACCAGAAATTACAACACCACCAGAAATAAATCAAACAACAACATAGTCAGATCAGAGAAATTACCTAGAGCAAGACAATCGTTTCCTATGATCCCAAAATCAATTCTGTCAACCAAAAATCACAACAAAGTCAGATAAGATAAATAGAATTAACAAAAATTGTCAAATCCCTAAATTTTTTAATTAGGGTTTACCCATATTAATACCTCAAAATTGAGAGAGAGCAAGAGAGAGTCGTTGACAGAGAGTGAGAGTGGCGCAGAGGTATACTCCAAGTATATGTAGAAGTGATCATCAATCTGCACACCAAAACACAATATTACAAAAACAAACTTCAACGATTTGTCTTTAATAATATAAACAAGATTTATACTGCACTACCATAAAAGATATATAATATATTATATACTCACCACTTCACTACCATAATATAATACTACACAATATTTGGATGCTTTAGTGCACGGATGACTTTAATTTCCTGCAACAGGTAGCTGAGAGAGAGTGAGTGAGAGAGACAGGTGAGTGACTGAGGGAGACGAGAGTCAGAGCGGGTGAGAGAGAGAGTGACTGAGAGATTGGGTGAGGAAAATCTGGAAAAAAAAAAGAGAAGAGGAACTTGAGAGGAACTGAGAGAGGCAGAGTCCAGTGATGAGAGAGAGCGGGTGTGACTCAGAGATCGTGTGAGAAAATCTGGAAAAAGAGAGAGGCAGAGGCGAGAGTGAATGAGATTCAGATTTGAGAGAGTCGGGTGAGACTGAGAGGAAGAAAGAAAGAGGAGGCGCAACAATGAGAAAAAAATTCTTAGCACTTCAGATCACTTAGGGTTTCGCAGAATTTCAATCTGGTGTAGGAAAGAGTAGGATATGTCATACAATCAACTAATCATCCTCTGACACGTGTATTATTTTTTAAAATTAATAATATAATTAAAATACTCGGTCCGGTTCGGTTTTCAGCGGTTCGCAGTGAAATAAAACCGGTCCAACCCGGTTCAGATCCGGTTCGGCCGGTTTTTCTTCCGATTCCTTGATTTTTTAATATAAAAACCGAACCAAACCACCTAAAGCGGTCCGGTTCGGCCGGTTCGGTCGGGTTTTTTGTAAAAATTCCCACCCCTACGAATTGTTAGCTAAAGTCTTTGCCTATAAAATAAGGCATCCTCCTCATTTATAATATAGAGAGAACGACTCAATGAAAATATCAGAAGAATATTTCTATCACTATTTGAATTCTCTAAATTCTCTCCTCAATCTCTTTAGTTTTATAACACGTTATCAGCACGAATTCGCTCTCAAAATATACCAGCTGAATTCTCTGATGAAACCCAAATCTCTTATCCCTCCTTCCTTCCATCCATCTTCTTCTGCAACTGCAACGTTACTCTGCAAGTGTGTGGTTGTAAAGTAATCAGAGCGGGAGATGGTCTCTGTTTTTGCCCCATTTATGCATACACAAGTGAAGTTTCTTACTTGCCACCAGAAAATCAACAACATGAAGAGGTGTCAATATGTTCACAAGCTCCTTGACAGTGCTTAGCCTCAACTGATCTGCCTCCTCCAAAATTCTCACCATGGCTTGGCCATGCTCATCCAGAGCCTCCTCCACTTCTCTGTTCATCTCCCCAAATTGGCTAAAACCCTTTGCAATTATTTGCAATTGGCTGATCTGCTATGTCCTTTCGCAGAGCTGCCAGCTCCACGCCAACCTCTCAGAACCTCATCTCGCCAATTTTGCCTATCAAATACTCCACAAACCCAGAAAGTAGTCTTAGAGAATGGCGTCGGTGGCTAGAGTAGATCTAGACAGCAAACCAATAAAGCAAATGATATTGGTTGGACCAAGACTTGGTGCTGAGAACCCACCGAAAAGGATAAGCTCTCTACCTCATAATCTCTTATATTATATTGCCCCTTGGTGTTGAGAACCCACCGAAAAGG